CAGAAAAAAGTGACCCAGCTGAGTCCCAAGACACATCAAACAAAAAGCTGCACATGAAAATAAATGAAAAAAGACATACTGTGCTTCTGTCCTGATCTGCCAGCAGTGACAGGAACTTCTATCACAATGGGAGAAAAGTTGCTTCCTTTGAGAAAGTGTCCTAACCTTCTCTGTGAAACTGAAATGAAGGCCCAAGTGACAAGAAGAGATATAATTCAGAAGAAAAGAAGAGATGCACTTAAACGCTTCATGTACTTAATTCCAGGAATACAGAAGAAAGTGTCTTTTGTGAGATGTTGCTTGAAAGTGTTGAGCTGTCTAGATCTATGCCCTTGGTTAAAAAGCAAAATACACATTTAAAGTCATTTAATATGATCCTCTGACTGGCATAAAATGAGACAGTATGAAGGAAAATGGGGCTTTCAGAAATGCAGTTGTTTTATGCCGTTATTCTATGCCGTTATTCTTTTTCCCCCAAAATGGAGGAATTTAGTGGAGAAACTAAAAGTAGATAGACTAAGCACACATTGTCCAATCAAAGTTACACAAAAGGAAAGAAGATAGAATCATAACTTTAGTGTGTGTTTGTTAGTTGTTTTCTAATGAAAGGGTTGCAACATTTCTGTTTGTCATGTTTTATATTCTGAGGAAACACAGCATGAAACCAGTAGAGCATCATAGAATGTGTGTCTTTCTTTGCCCCAATATTCTTATTATGCCATCCTTGAGAACTCATGATATAATGCATTGCTCAACCCTAATAATTTAGTTGTCAAACTATTGGTAAATAGTAGATTTTAGCCTCCCATCTAATATCAAAACCAACCATCACTGACTGTTGTTTATGGTAAACTAAAATGACACAAAGTGACCAAAATGACACAACCCTACATGTCAAATAAAACGATACAAGGGGTGAAATGACACAAGGGGTGATCAGTGCAATTGCTTTCTAAAAAAAAAAAAACATCATGACTGTGAAACACTTCTTTAGGCTGCCAAATGATTGTCTACTCCAAACCTCCAATGATAAATTGTTGCTACGATTGTTGCCATGTCTTATGGGGATGACAAGACAATTTCTTATGTGCTTTCAGAAGCACTATGGCTGCACATAACCTTCAACATGTCACAAGACAAGATTTGCTGTCTTCCTTTCAACCTCTCGCATTTTATTCCAATTTTACAATTCTTTTATATTTCATTTGTGTACCCTGCTAGATCAGCAGCATGTCTACCATGGTTGCATGCAAACACCATTTAAAATAATTCTGTGCCTCTTCTACACACATGACACACAACTGGTTAAACCACCAGTAGTTAAGTTTTACTTATTCTGAGTTTTTCTGTTGAAAGAACTGTAAAGAGCGCAGACTGATGGGGAAAAAAGTCCTATATTTTGCTTTATTGAAGTTATAGTTGCAGAATTCATGGAAAGTATTGTCATTTGGTACTTTCTAATGTTTCTAACAGTCTTTCCATTTAGTTGAGTGGCCAATTCAGTATGCTGTTGAATATGATATGTTAGTTTTAGCTGACAGTGCGGTTTAGACCTCTGGCTCAGATCTGTCTCACCTCTACCTCTCAAAGCGGAGAAAGAGGGAACAAAGAGGGGTAGCGGGATATCAGCGTCTTCATTGAGATGAATAGATAAATAAATCAAATTTGACAGGACACTTTCATGATGCAACACTGTGCAACTTTTACAAATGATGAGCATCCTCGGCATGTCTCATAGCAAATAAGTCAATGTCACATACATTTTTAATCACCCAGACCAGCCACTGTTTTCTTTAACTGTTGTTAAAACTATAATATGAACTATTCAGGAGTTTCTATTCTCACCCCACCACGTCGAATCACAGGTACAGCCAGTAAAGCTATCAGCATTACAGCTTATGACTACAAATTACTCTCATATCATCTCTTCTGCCAAGATGTGTGCATTTTTACTTACATTCTAGTGACCTTTCTGGAAAAACAAAGGAAGAACTATGAGGAGCTCCTGCTCAGGTGCCTGCTACCATCAAGTTTTTTTTTTTTTTTTTTTTTCCTTGTTAACATTATTAGCCTTGTTAGATTCACTCACTGCACTCCTCTGTGTTGTTCCTCAGTGATGGAACTCACTTCTCCTTCTTCTGAGGTCAGTTTCCCTCAGAGCTATCTACTCAGATCATTAAGTTAGTTGGACTAACTAACACACATGTTGGGACTGGAGTTGGGTTCCCTTCATTCTCTCCTCATCTCTGTTAGGTCAAATCCTCCCTCATCGTGGCTATGTGCTGCTAATGTAGTTGAGTGGGTTTCCCTTGCTGTACTCTGCCCTATTCACTGCTAAGCCTACTACATTAGCTGGATCCACTAAAAAACACCACTGAGACCAAAATCAGGTTTCTCTCCAGTCACCCTTCATTCTCTCTGCCAGCTTGTATCTGCCAATGAGTGATAAGCAATAAGCTGAGAAGTCAACCATAGTATACACAGAACAGATGCTTTTTGAGATTTGCCTTCCAAGGACAGTAATTCCTGTTCAAAGTTCTACCCTTCAGCCTGGCTCTAGCACCACATGTGTTTTCAAGAGATATGCTGACAGTCTACATGTCTATGTGACAGAGGAGGCATCGGGATATTGCCGAATTTGGACAATTGGCTCCTATGCACAATGACCAAAGAGCAGGCTATTCGAGACATCTCCAACTTCCTCCCTCACATTATGGTGCTCAGTCTCACTGTGCACTCTGTGGTCTCACAGCTGCATTGTTAGATCCCTTGAACTAAGAGACTTTCAGGAGTGGGGTAGTCAGTCTGTAGCTGGACATCAAATACCACAGGCAAAGGCATGGCTTTGTCTCAGAAAAAGGGGCACATGCTCTAGCTTGCTGGCTTTCTTGGGGTCTGCCCGGGAGCAGTGCCATATGGGAGTGCACTGGGGTACCCCATCCCCTGTGTGAGATCACAATACCATCCACACACCCAGGTAGAATTGAGGATGGTCAAGAGGATGGTGATGCATCAAGACCCTTCCCTGTTCTATTCCGATGGAATGAACTTCCCCTGTCCACTAGCTGTCTTCAAACAAAGACTGAAGACCTTCCTCTTTACTAAGCACTTGAACACTAAGTAATTTTGTTACTCTACTAACTTGTACAAACTCCTATCTAACAGGCTTTTAGCTTGATAGTATTCTTAGACCCTGACCTATTTGTACTAGCATGATGATGTGTTTTTGATAGAGACTACAAAGCCAAGTCAGTCTGGATAAAGCCATCTGGCAAATGTTGTTTATGAAAATGAAAAATGGAAAAACATCACAGCATGTTGAGTATCAGTTGTTATGGTGATTCGTGATGGTATAAAGATGATTTGTAGAGTGTCTACATTAGACTATCAAAATAAAATGCTACCAAAATATTACTGATGGCTTAAAATGTTTTGTGCAACATTATCTTGAATACACTCTGACACCCAATTTATAACTTCAGGCTCTAGTTATTTCTCATAGTAAAAAGCATTGCCATACGAGTAAACAGAGAAATCATTTATTTATTTGTATAGTTACTTATTTATGTGGGTAACTTTATGTTTGAATAAATTTTGTAACCCAAGGTACCTAGTACATAATTTCATATGCGTGTACAGTTACATAATATTATGAGTTTTATGTTGAATTATATTGTTTAATCTGTCATTTTAGACCATGCTTTTGTAATGCATTGTTTATTGAAATATCTCTCTCTCTCTCTCTCTCTCTCTCTCTCTCTCTCTTTCTCTCTCTCTCTCTCTCTCTCTGTTTGTCTCCAGATGTGGGAGTGCAATACCTAAAGGAAATAAAAAGGCATGTTTAAAGTTTTGTCTCCTTGGTTTATTGAGTGGAATTGAGCACACCTTTCATGAGAGACATGTGCTGTGTTGGTTAACAATTCTACCGGGAACCCTAATCTATACAGAAGAAGAAAAGAATGACAGGTACAAAAGGACGGTGAGGAGAATAAAGGGTCAGACAGAAGAAATAGAGAAGGAAAAAGAATGAGGTGTTTAAAGAATCACCTGAACCATACACTATACTTTTCCACCACTGACCTTAGTGTACCATTCAGTCAGTTGAATCACATCGGTGAACCCCTTCTCATACATTCTCTTCCCCTGTTAGTCTGCAGATTTCACCATCCATGCTTTAGTCAGAGAACATCAATGCCCTTTATATAGATTCCACTTCCATTTTCCAAAAACCGTAATGTCACAGTGCTTGCTGAAAGGATGAGTATAATCTGTCAAATATTAGCTTTAGGCATGCTGTTTCAGAAAGTCAGATAAATGCTGTGTTGTTTACATAGCCATACTTAATTTTCTCCTCTGGCTTGACTTTGGAGGAAATGTGTTAAAGGCCTCACACCTCTGCTTTCAGTTGAGGAATTTAGCTTTAAGAATTCTAATTAACATTCAAAGAGAGTAGACGTTTCTACTAATTACGCTGCAAGTGTGGCCTCCAGAGACAAACAAACAATGAATCAATGGAAGCCTAAC